AAAACTTACAAGTTTAGCTGCCGAATATCCTTTAAATACAAATAAAACTTCAACTAATGTAAATAATAATTTAGTTTTATAAAATAATCATTGTCTTATTCCTATTAAAGGGTAATACATCAGTTACACAACAGGAAGATATTGATCTTGCTAACCTTCGAAAACGGCTTGAACAGTAAATAAAATTTTAAGAATTTTTGTTTAAAAAACTTTTGATTGTGATTAAGATCTGCAAATGATGAAAAATTACAATTACTTGAAGATAATCGTATTTATATTGAAAAATTAAAAATAGAATTACGTTTAGCAAAAGAACAAGAAGAACAAATATTACGTGATAAAATGAAAGCTGATTTAATGTAAGAAAAACAAAATCATTTTTAATCTATTGTTTTTTATCTTAATAGATTAATCGAAAATAATATTCATGAAAATTTTTTACATGAAAAGAAATTATTTCAAAATCGTCAACAAAATGAATTAAATAATATTAAAGAAATATTTGAAAAAGAAAAACAAGAATTACAAAAAAAATTAAGGTATATAAATAAACAATACTTTTTGTTTTAAATAATTAATTTTTTGTAAATTTAAGAAGTGATATGTTATCAGATCTTAATCTTGAACAACAAAATAATACAAATATACAAATACGTTTATTACAAATGAAACATGAATTCGATGAAGTTTGATTTATTTTCAATAATAAATTTTTATCTTTATTTATAATATTTAGAAATTACGTAATGTTGAAAATCGTTATAAAAATGAAATTGAAGATTTAACACAACGTTATGAACAAATTAAAATTGAAAATGATACATTAGAAAAACGTTTAAAAGAGGTACTTTTATGCTTTTTTTACAATTTTGAACAAATTTTTGTATTTCATAAAAAAATTGCCGTTTGTATTATAAAAAACTCGAAATCGACCAACTGTTAGTAATCCGACCCAAGATAAAGTATAGTTTTCGTGACTCAGCACGGCCCAGCCGACTCGAGTTAGACACTGACGGAGAATACTTGTGCCTTTGAGCTACATTGTGGTATGAAAGATAGGAACAGTGACAAGATCTGACGCATTCCCAAGAAACACTATTCTTGTTAAGGTCTGTCCCTATGCTAAAATTTGAAGATCGGTAGTCATTTAAAAAAATTCCTTTGAAACTATTGCAAAGAATAAAATAAAATAATTTATAGAAAACTGATTTTTGTTCAACTTTGCAACGAACAATGACTCAATTACGTGGTGATAATTCATCATTAGAACAAAAATTACAAGATGCTCAATCAGAATTAAAAGCAATCGATGATAGTAATAAACAAATTCAATTATCTTCTAATCATATTGATGATGATAATTCAAATTTTGAACAAACTCAAAGTAATAATAAATATACATTTCATGATGATGATGATGAAGGTTTAAGTGATACAGATAGTGATGTTATACAAATGAAACAAACTTTAAATGAATTTAAACATATTTCTTCTTTTTCAAAACCAATAAATAATATTGATGAAAAACAACATTCAAAACCTAAGACTGTTAATTTAACTGATTTATCAAATAATGATATTAGTTCAGTTATACAAAATATTTCATTTGAAAGAAGATCAAATCAATCATTAATTGATTCAGGACAATGGACAAATACAATGTTATCAACAATTGGTAATAATACATATCCATTAGGTATACAAAATTTACATCATTATAAAACTAATTATTGGCAAATCCAACCAAGTCTTATTACAAGAGAATCTGTTATAAAAGCAGCACGTGATGTTCTTCCTCCTGGTGTTATTGATCGTTTAT